CAGGCAATTGGCAGGTGCATTCATATACATCAAATCACCATAGTCCAGCACAGGTAAAAAGGTCTGTGATAAATTAGAATACTGTATAATATTTAGACATAGACTACTAAATACATTAAGAATTGTTACAAGTATCTGTTTTTTTATAGAAATTACAGATGAGGTGTGAAACCAACGTATTGGCAACCCTTTCCACAATCCAAATGATACAACATCATGTAGAGACAGCAAATGAAAGTTAGTTATGCATACTGTGCCTGCAGACACAAATCATATCTACATATATACAGCACATACTCACAGATATATAGACAGGCTTCCACTTATTTACACACCAGTACATATGCATGCATGCAAACACAGAAATGTAAAGGCTCTGCCTCATTGTCTGTTGTAGTTGATTGTGAATGTTTCAAACTCACATATAATTACTGTATGAAACAGAAACACTAGAAGTAAAATCTCAGTAAACGCTAGCATTCCTTAGGAACCGCTGTTAATCCACCAAGAAGAAGTCTGCTGAAGTGAATAGCATTTTTATTAAAACATTGACAAATTATCACATATAGCCTACTGTAGAGCAGGGGTCGGCAACCCCTGGCACGCGTGCCACCATTGGCACGCGGGACCGTAACCAGTGGCACACTAGGAATAAGTGTGCACAAATATTTAAATTGTATTGTCGGATCCTGAACGAGACCGCCGGCAGAGCGCGTTTCCCCCTGCAGAAGGAAGCCATGCACGCAACGCAGCGCAGAAGGATAACTTCTATGCCCGCTCTCTTTTAACTCCAGTCGACTCTCTGCTGCTTTCCTCCATGGTGAAACTACCAGGGGTGTAGCGCACTTCACTCATTGCAGTATAAGGAGCTGTACATGCCGCAGTTTTTGCGAGGCTGTGTCTTTAGTTGAAAGCCCAGTGGCGATCTGCTCATCTGTCATCGAAAACAGGTACACAGGGGCGGACTGGCCAACTGTGTGTTCTGGAGAATCACAGTACCGGCACCGCCCTTTATTTATTTAAATGTGTTTAAACGGCATCATGTAAGTGATGAGGTCCACAGCTTCCCCGACTATCCCCTGATAGATTTATAAGCATAAAAGGAATACCATTAGTCAAATAGAATAATTCTGTTATTATTTCATTAAATCAAAAATAAAATCAGTCCAAGAAAGCAGAATACTAGATTTCTTTACAAATATTTTCTTTAAAATAATGAAATCACAATAGAAATCACACTTAATCTGTCGAATAGTAGTGTCTTCCCCTACAAAAATGTATGGAAATGAATTGTTTTCTCAGAATGTATAGAGTAAAGTGAGCTTCTTCTCACATGTGCAGAGTGATTTATTGATTTATTTGAGTTTACGGTTTAATGCGAAGTCTTTTTAACATTCAAACACAAAAGGATTGTACATCTGCTCTGACTCTGAGTTTGTATTCTCCCCGTGATGTTTGGGGGGTAAGCTAAGAATGAGTTGCATGTTGGCAAATGTTCTAATGATCAGCTTAGTGGATGTATCCCTGGCAGATTACTCAGTTGAGTGGACTGAAGAGAAATCAATTACCACAACTTAGCTTCCATTATTTATCCCACAGCTAAAAAACGGCCTTACATGACAACGTGCCTCTATTCAATTCCCCTGGTCAGATTCAATTCCAAGAAATGTTATTTCCGGGATAAATCCACCGCTGCTTCCTCAGCTCTTTTGATTAGCATTCATGTTGCACTGCGGAAGTCTGCTGGTACAACTGTTATGGTTCACACACACACACACACACACACACACACACACACACACAGAGAAAGCTATATCTCTGCCTGTGTTATTCAAAAGGGAAACAAGAATGTCTTTTTAAATTAAATGCATGCTGATTGTTATTGCCCCCCCCCCCCCCCCCCCCTCCTCCCCGTGTGGACGAGGTGAATGTCACTAAGTAAGTGCCACACTTTTTCTTGCGTGGTTGTTAGCAGCTTACGCATGCATAATAAAAGCACGGGGGGAGCGCTTATCAGGCCGCAGTGGGGGGGCCGGACATGTGTCGCCCCCCCCCCTCATTACAGGCCGAGGGGCGATAACAGCCCTGAGTGGAGCAGGGGAACGAGTACAGCGGAGACATGGCCATCACAAAGGAAAGAGAGAAGAGTTTGGGTCGGGAGGAGGAGCACCACGGGACAGCGCTAACACACTCCAGTTGTCTTTCACACACACACACACACACACACACACACACACACACACACACACACACACACACGAGTAGCCCCAACATGCTTTATTTAAAACACAATGCCACCGCAGCCTTTCCATTGTGCTTTTACACATTCTGCTTTAATGCCGTTTGGGAAACAGCATGCAGAACTGAGAGAGGATAAAACCTTGTCTACGTGTAAAAGAGTCAATTTTACATTCCCTGCCTCTAATTGAATTCGGAGTGGTTGCAGTTAAACTGAATGGCATGTGTGATGCACTATTGGTGGTGCACTATTAGGCTGAATTGAATTTGCATGGTTGGGTGGTCGGACAAGTAATATGAGTGCTTTTGTAAGTAGGGTAATATTACAGGACTCACTGAGGGTTCACAAAGGGGAGACGCTCTGTAGCGGAATGACCAAACGCACAGTCTAACAGTCCGCAATACACTCATATGTTTCTTATTCTCCTACTTTAACCATAACACACACAAGGGGAAGTTCCTCTACTTCAGAGCAGAGTGTTGGACCACAGCAGGACCAGATGCATCTCACTCGCTCTATTTTCTACGCTGAACAAACTGAAACGTTATATTTAATTAAATGTATTATGTCAACAGATTTCACAAAACTGTTTTAGGTTAGTTGAAAGCAATATTATTAAGTTTAAATAAAAAATATTGTGTTCGACTTTAGGGACATTTGTTGACATTATACATTTATTGACATTATACATTTAATTGACGTCAACGTTTCAGTTTTTTCACTGTATTAGGAAAAGTTGTGAACCTGGTTCAGGTTTAAAGCGGATCAAGAATTGTCATCAGAATTGCACTTATTGCAACATGATGTCATCGGTCCTGCACAAACCCATTCCTACAAAGTGCAGTCGGTTGGAGTGAAGCTGAGCTATAGCATTCAGCGGAAACAAGGCATTAGAAATAATACAAATGTAGAATATCATAGACGTGTCCTTTAAATGCCGGGAGATCATTACATCTCTAAGAGGATGCCTCTTAAAATGTAGATGAGCAACATTTCAGAATCAAAATATTGAATATCTTTCTGTTGTGGAAAAAAGTTGATAAAAAGCTGTCAGAGAAGAAAAGGCTATCTGCTAGGTGGGCTGACCCCTCCTCTGGTGTCCTGAACAGAGCGTTCCACTGGAAGCTACCCCTACTCTAACATTATTCTTCCTTCCTTGGAACAGTGGGCCTTCAAAAAGGCAGTTCACAACATGTCCCAGTTTAATCCCAAATCATCAGATTTCCATCATTCTTCCAAATCTACTCCGACGACTCCCCTTTTATCATATCGATTCCTTCTTTTGAATTATCATTTTTTTTAAATATATTATCCTAAATCATTTTGATAAGCAATCTTTTGCTAATTCAAAATTGTTATGTGTCTCTCTCCCCTTTGCTCCAATATTACCCAGATAGAATTACATTGTGAGAAACAGATTTCAAACTGTACTTCAGCAGAGTCAAGAAGAACACACACGCACACACACACACACACACACACACACACACACACACACACACACACACACACACACACCCCACACACACACACACACACACTCAGACACACTCACACACACACACACACACACACACACACACACACACCCACACACACACACACACACACACACACACACACACACACACACACACACTCACACAGATAGTTCCAACCATCACTGCCGCTCAGCGTGCACTGCGTACATTATTTTTGACATCTACCATTTAAAGGCACGGTGTATTTTACACAAAGTGGTATTAATTAAGCTGCTGAAGGCACGCCATCATATATTTCAGAAGCACAGGGCGAACAAAGGCAGTGACAGTGGGAATCCTGGAAGTCAATTAGAATTTTATGTACGTTTTTAGATCTCTTTTTTAAATGATAAATGAAGTTACTAATTTTGTCTGTGCTCTTTCTAGACACTGCAGCTTTAATTGCTAATTGTTAACAGCGAACGAATACATTTGCATATTAATTAGCTCCCAATTTACATTTTTAATTTTCTGCCTTCAAAGGGTGTGAGATAAAAGGTCGTGTTATTCTAAATAATTTATCCTTTATTGCAAAAAGATGCTGAAAGGAAAATGTGGGGGTGATTTTTAACCCTTAAGAGCTCTGGAAATGCACGTTAAAAATACATGCAATATATATATTTATTTAGATTTTCTTCAGTTAATGAAATGGGCTAAGGAGAAAAATGGAGGAGTCAAACAGATTTGAATACAAAGCCACCTGACTGAAGAGCACAGTGAATTCAGCGGAGATGGCTTAGAGTTTGGAAAGCAGATCGTCTCTTTGTATCACTCCATTTTGTCCTCTCTCCCCCTGACACATCAATAGATTTGGCAGCGGGCGCCTTCGGTTTCCGTCTTTCACCACGAGGCAGCGGCGAGCGGAGAAGGAACGCACAAGTTCAGAAATTCATTAAGATGAAAAACATCCGCACCGTGCTTCTTGTGAGGAGGAGGAAGTGCTGTGTGTTTCTCTTAGTGTGTGTGTGTGTGTGCGTGCGTGCGTGTGTGTGTGTGTGTGTGTGTGTGGTGTGTGTGTGTGTGTGTGTGTGTGTGTGTGTGTGTGTGTGTGTGTGTGTGTGTGTGTGTGTGTGTGTGTGTGTGTGTGTGTTGGGAGTGTGATATGGGTTCCCAGCCAGTTGCCTGCACATTCTTGCCGAGCGTGGTGCTTTGGCTCGGTGCCACAAACAAAGCGGTTTCAGTCACTACCCGGACCCCAGCAATCACTGACACTTTATTTTCCTTTTCTGCTGTTGTGACAGACCAAACTAAAGTCAGAGAGAGATGAATGGAGGAAGCTGGACTCCACAACCGTGGCTAAAACGTTCCTCGGCCTGGTGCTGAAAGGCCAGCAGCTGAGAGGCTCGGCCTGTTCTGCTGTGCTGCACTTTGTAGACAGAGTCTGACACCAGTCCTGCTGAAACTGCTAAAGCGTTGCAATAAGCACAAATATAAATATCCCTCTGATTCATATTGTTTTCCTGAGATTCCCAGTTCTGTAGGCGTGAAAGGTGTTTTATTATTTGGTTGTATTCATGGATTTCCATGGGCCGTAACAAATTATTGAACTCCAACCTCTGCTAAAAAAAACTAAAATCACAGCCCATTCATTTGGCCTTTCTTTCCTGCTGTGCAAAGAAAAAGCAACCTCTTCATCCAGATATCTTTCCGTTTTATTTTCCGTTTTTATGTTGTGCTTTGGAGAGAGTGTGTAAAAGGCATAAGGACCAAAATGCAGACACTCCCTATGATCGTGCATGCATGCAGATCTTTTTAAATATTGAAGTTAAAAGCATCAATCTGGTGCACTTTGAGAGCAACATTAAGAGATCTATGGATACATCTCTCAACACCCAGATGAAACAGAACTGTAAACACAAGCAATGGGTCTTGCTCATTCTTTCGCTTCCCGTCTGATGAAAGGACCAGGAGTGGCTGGATCAAGTTAGCTACCTAGCTAGTAGCTAGCACGTTAGTTAGCATTACAGCCTTGTCCTTTGTATTAGCCTTAACATGAAGTAACATTAAGTAACCCAACATGTTAAACAGTAAGAGTGGTAGTCATATTTTGTGAACCCTTTGAAGAGTACTGTGACACTGGTGTGATCATTCAATCTTACACAATTTAAGCCCGGGGATAAATGCTAACGCTACATTAGCATCTGCAATCTTTTCTACTTCATGCTATCTGCACAAATGGTTGACATTAAACACTAAAAAGACCAGGCAGTTCAGAGAGAATCAAAGGAAGGCAGGCAGGCAGCTTTGCATGACATTCTTCTGGACGTGTTTCATTGTGGTGATAGTGAGGGTAGTCAATCGTTTTGTTGACAAGACAGTAGTGACGGTCATCTTGGTGACGTGTGTTGTTCTGCGAGACCAGAGATGTAGTTCATTCAGCGTTTCACACAAACAAATGTGTTACTTCACAGTTTTACGACACATTTTAATTTTTTTGACTTGCAAAATTATCTTTTAAATTGACAAACATCATATGTGTAATTCGTGGCACAATTCAAACGGGATCGAAAGATAATCTTTCTCTCTCCATTAGCCGCTTTCACACCGCAGGACTTGCCGTACTTTAGTGCCGGCACTAAAGTACCACGGCACTGAATCCGCCATGGGGCTAGTGCCAATCGCATTCACACCGCAGTACTTTCCCTGAGGCAAGATTACGCTGACGTCACTTCGTCTTCTTCTTCTCTGGGTTTACTGGCAGGCCGCAAAACCACTTCACGGCGAGTACAAAAAAAACGAGAGTAGAACTACACGGGGGAGGGGGTATAAAGCCCACCCGCTGTATGAGGCGTTTGTTTACTTTCCGACCTCAGACATGATGGAGTTCATAAGGGTAATTTACAAATAAAATACCCCATTATAACAATGGACTTTATCTTTATGTATTTATTATATATTACCCCCTCAGGCTGATTTTGGAAAAGGACATTAACACTTGTTTGGTGTTTTTCCCTTATTTATCTCAAACAAATGACATGATAAATGACTTGTGTTTATGTGTGTAAGACTTGTGTTTCTGCCCCTGCCATTGCTGCACAAGGTTGCAACATTGTAGATAAATTCAACCACCGACACCTGTCTGCTCTCACATTCTTCTATTCTGCAAATTTGGGGTGGGACACAATAAATAAAGCTTCGCCAGTTTGTTTGTTTTATTGCACAGTCAAGACATAACAATAACGGCATCACGCTGTTCCAGGTGTGTCGTATGCATGTAAATTGAAGTTAAATAAAAGTGTGAAATGTAAAATAAAGTGTAAGTAGTTTCAAAACAATGTAACAGTGGCAATATATATAGCAGCAGACACACCTTAGTGCAAGTTAGGTGTCAGTATTAAAAAACAGTGGCAATATATATATATAATAACAATAGAAAATCGTTACCACTCTTATTATTGTGCAAGATTCCCAGCTCAAGTAGCTTTTGCGAACATCGCTCAAAACATTTGGAGTTGGGAACTGCTTTCTATAGAAGCTGCTGCATCCCGTCCTCGGAGTAAATTGCCAGAAGCGCCGACACTTCCTCATCATTCCACCGCTCCGGTGTTGTAGTACGTGTGGTCAGAACTGCTTTAAAGTACAAAAAAACGACTCGCTCAGGTGTGGATGTGGTTTTGTAGCGAGGAAAAAAATGGCTGCCTAACAAAAAAAATTCAGAGTCTAACGGGGCGTGGTTTGCAATTCCCCCAGCCAATAGAAATAGAATAGAAATTGGCACTCTTTTATCACCAGGTTCGTAACACCTCTCTAGCAGGGACTGAAAATGGCCAAAAGAGTTCCCGGCACTGAGTAGTCCCGGCGGTGTGAACTCGACATTATTGGTACTAACGGAACTAAAGAACTAAAGTACCAGGGAAAGTCCTGCGGTGTGAATGCGGCTATAGACTTCAATACATAATTTTTCCGAAATAAGGTCCCATGGAGGTCCACCGGAAGGGGAGGGACTTCGCCACTCTATGCGAGCAAAGCGAGCAAAGCAAAGCGACGAAACCACAATACAGTTCGGCAAAGCGTGACGTCACCCCATTCAAAGTGAATGGGAAGAAGCGTTGAAGCAAGCCGCCGTGTGGACGGGCCGTTAAACTGTATTCTTGTTTATTAATACACATTTTTTGACTGTCATATAGTATTTTATACCTGTTTTTCAGATATTCTCTTATTTTTTTATAACTATAATGATCATATAAAGGTGTGCCTCTACCTCACTGAGCTGAGGTTATCAAAGCCTCTCAGTCTGAAAGGAGAGAGCTCTCTTCCACCTGGTTGTAGAAAAAGCTCTTTATATCCGTTAGCATAGCTAGCTAACCAGATGCTAATAACATGTCAGATGAACAGATCGTCACTGGGTTTACAACTAAAGACAAAGCTACGCAAAAACTGCGGCATATGTACTGCTCCTTATGGGTACTGCAATTTTTGAAGTGCCGGAGCGGCGTTCCGGCAGCACTACACCACGTGATGACACGTTACGCTCGTGTTGTGTTCAAGGAACCTGACCTTGGCCAGGAAAAACAGGCAGTCACGTGTTTAATTCTATGTTCATTGCAATTTATTGCATATCTCATACATATGTTGATTATATTTTATGCAAAGAATGTTGTAGATTAATTTACTGGTTCTTCTTATATTAGACCTTTTTGCTCCAAGTGAAAGGGTCAGGTGAAAAAGATAACTACAGATTAAATAATAATATAGAATTCATGTCCAAAATCATATGTCATGTAATTTGTTGTTTTTTGAGAATCAAAGGAATAAAAAAAACAAAGTGAAATGTAATCTGCACTCCATTTGAGTTTGAGAGACAAGCCCTGTTCTGTTTATATAAAAGTGTGTTTGAGTTAAGATGATTACGAGGAGAAATTCAGCCACCTCCAGCAATTACCCAGAGCCTGTTGTATACTGCCATTTATGTCCCATTGATCCGTATTATTCTTTCAAAAGGAGCACATTATGGCCGCCGTCTCTTTGTCTCCTCTCCTCTATCCTCCTCTCCTCTCTCCCTTCTCATCTCCTCTCTCCTCTACTCTTTACTTTCCTCTCTCCTCTCTGCATGTCACTTTTAACAATGAATCATATTTCGCAAGGAGAGAGGAAGCAAGGCAGCTGGCAATAAGAAGGCAGTGACTGAGGAGCCGGCCAGGATCAGTGTAAGGCACACAGAAAGACATGAAGGGGGTGACAGGGCTGGGGCTAGAGTTTTGCGGCCCTGGGCACAATTGGCCCCCCAAACCCCATCAACTTTTATATTATTTATGTATTTGTTTCTTTTAGAAAAGTATGTTTTTGGCCACCAGTGCCTCTATTGAAAAGAGAGAGTAGAGGGGGGACACAGAGGGGATAACACGTAAATTGGGGGCGTGTGTCCCTGTGGATAGTGCGTTGGTGTTGGGATCAGGGGGTCACAGGTTCAAACCCCACTGCAGTCAGCATGTCGTTGTGTCCCTGAGACACTTCACCCCAAATTGCTCCTGTGGGGATTGTCCTCAGTATTGAGTATCTAATAAGTAGGGTTGGGTACCGAGAACCGGTACCGGTTCCAACATTTTGATTCCAACGGCATCATTTAGAAATGTGAATTTCGGTTCCGCTTTTCGATGCCTGAGGAAATGTTTCTCGCCGCTCTCCGTAGCCTACTGTATGACTGCGGCGGGGTGGGAAATGTAGCGTTGTACCTACACTTCCTACAGTGTAACCTGGGACCAGGACCGTCCCGTCGCACTGGCGTTATAGATGTTCGCCTAGGGCATCAGACAGCGCTGACAGCTCTGGGAGAAAAAAAAAAGTTTTGACCGTTGGTGCTCATCCTAATTTTCGGCCTTGATGTAACAACATTCATAATTAAGTAAATGTAACACCCTTTTCATCCCGGTTACACTTTTCATTTGCCCTGTACGATGGGCGCTGTAAGTGATGAAAATGGGGGATGTTGGCTTATCTGGCGCCCGCAGCTCACAGCCAAAGTGCGAGTGAGCGTGCGAGTGAGCGTGGGAGAAAGGGAGGGTGCACCAGTACCAGCGCTATTGTTATTAGCATCTGGTGCTAGCTGCTCTAACGGAAGAAGAAGATGTTTCTACAATGATGTGGAGGGAGAGTCCTCTCCAGTCAGACTGAGAGGCTGATAACTACAGCTCAGTGAGGTAAAGGACTCTGAGTGTTTAGATAGTTAACTTTAGTCTAAGTTATCTCAGTGGGTCTCAAACGGTTTGATCACAATTTATGTAAACACATATTTCCAAGGCACTCCTTTATAAGTATTGGGATAAAACAGGTTTGAAATCATTCCAATGTATACTATAGGACAGTAAACCAGACATATCGTTTTAAACTGGAGAGATACAAAAATATGCATAAATAAAATAGTAAAATAAGATATGAATGAACAACAAAAATAAAATACGTTACATGTATTTGTTATTGGCTATGGTAGGTTATTGGTTATGTTCACATACTTATTTAATTATTAAAATGTAAACCGATCTTTTTCATATGGGTGTTTAGAGTTGTACCCCCTAGATCTAGTCTCTAGTCATTCTGCTTAAAGTGCACCAGATTGAAGCATTTTACTTTAAACAAACATTTCTTCCCGGTATGCCGGAGAAGGCAGATATGCTTGTTTTTCTCAACAAGAACTGTTTTTAAATGGGGGGGGGGGGTTCCCTTTAAAAGTTGGACTGTTGTAGCTTCAGTGGTTCTCAGGTTACAGTTAGCAGTGAATATAAACAGACTGATTAATGTGAATATTACTGTAAACTACTAACCTGTGTAAAAGTTTCTCGAATAAATGTAATTTTTTTGGAGGAAGAAGCATGTATCATTTTTTTACCCTGCCCCTCAAAGAATCGGAATTGAGAACCGTTAAGAACCGGAATCGAAAAGTAGAATTGGAATCGGAATCAGAATCGTGGAAATTCAAACGATACCCAACCCTACAAACAAGTAACATGTAATGCAGTGATCACCAACTGGCGGCCCGCGGGCCACATCCGGCCCGCCAGACATTCTCATCCGGCCCGCACGACGGGGGTGACTGTGGCGTTGGCGGAGTGGTTACTGCGTTCGCCTCCCACCCATTATTTTTTTTTTACAACGTCTCGTGAGTAAGTTGTAGTACCGGAGTCCAACAGAGAGGCAGCAGCTGCGGGTCAGTAGACTGTGTACTGCGAAACCTTCCTTGCCTTGAACAAGAATTGATCCTTCGTTGTGAAGAGTCTGGTTTGTGCGCTCCGCACCACAGCAGCAGCCCCGCAGCGACAGAGTCCAACAGAGAGGCAGGAGCTGCGGGACAGTAGCCTAGAAGCAGGGTTGGGTTGTAACGGAATACATGTAACGGCGTTACGTAATGAGAATACAAAAATCAAGTAGGCTAACTGTATTCAGCTGGCGTTACATTTGAAAAACGAGTAATCTGATTACAGTTACTTTCGTAAACCTGAAGTGAATACATTTTGGAATACTTTTTGGAATTATTGGTGGAAAAGTTTCCTCACAAAATGTAATATTCATTACCGGCAGAACTGTGTGCACACTGCACAGCGCTGCAGCATGTCTGTGAACGAGAGAGATGCAGCGCGTCTGTGAGGCCCCGCCCCCGCACGCAGATGAGAGAGAGATCTCTTTTAAACTATATTGAAAGTTAGAAACGGAGATGGTTCGATAAAATGTGCAAGATAACGTTTATGAAGCATTTCTTTATTGTCGAAATGATGACATTTATAACGGGATCAAATCAAAGTGAATGGCCTGCTGCTGCTGAATGCCTGGGCAAGTGACTGGAAAAAGTTTTAAAAGTTATTACATCGTTTCAGATAATACATAATAATGATAATTCATTCTATTTAGGGGCGCCTTTCAAAGCACCCAAGGACACCTTACAATTCATAACATATTCCAAGGAAAGGTTTTAAGACAGTACAAAGAATGCAGTCCGGGTGATGTTTTTTATGTGGGGTGCAGATGAGAGAGCTGTCCAGAATGACACTAAGATGTTGTGTTTGAGTTCTTGATAAGCCATTAAAACAATGAAACAAGTGTCTCCTGTTCACCAAAACATACCCATCTGTTATGGAAAAAGAAAGTATTCTAAAAGTATCTGAATACATTTTTAAGACACGTAACTGTAACTGTATTCTGATTACTTTCAGAGCATGTATTCAGTAACTGATTACATTTACAAAGTAACCCTCCCAACCCTGCCTAGGAGTGATCCTTCGTTAGCGTGAAGAGTCTGCTAAGCTTTATGCGGTCCACAGTACCTGAGCGTGCTCCACTAGCACCCCCCCCACCCCCCCCCCACTTCAAAATTCCGGGCTATATAAAAATCGCTGGCCCGCGATAGTGTCTATTGGATACATTTTGGCCCTTGGACAAATGTAGTTGGTGATCCCTGAGTAATGTAATGATTGACAGCAGCAGAGAACTCACAACCGTATGGTTTTTAATTTAAATGTTGCTGGATCCTGATTGGTGCACATTCACATGACTTTCAACAGAACAAACTGAAATCTGTCATAAAGCAGAACTGTTCCCACTTAGGCAGACTTGTATTATATATATGGTTTTATAACAGATATTTTGTGTTCACATAAAATCCCATCACTCAGAGATTAAGAAATGATATCTTAACTCTATAAACAACTGTTTAAAATCATGTAGCAATGTTTTACAATAAGAATATTCAAATAAAATAAATCAACTCAATAAAAGCCTAAATAATATGGTAGTATAATGCTGTGAGAAATATAAAAGTATAGGAAACCACAGACTTCATATCTGTAATCTGCTCACTCCTGGGGCCCCCTGCTGGCTGTGGGTGGCCTTCAATGAATGCCTCCACTTAGAGACGTTATCATTTACTTTAAATATCACTTGTTTCACATTTGACAGTTGCCCTGCTAAACATCCTCGCTATATAAATACAATGCATTATTATTATTATTATTATATTGCCCAGAACTGTGTCCTTATTGGAACATCTTTAAAACTAGTGAAATTCTTTCTATTGATGTATTGTTATTATTTATAGGCAGTCATGTATCAGACATGTACCTCTTCACTGATCAACCTTGATAACAATTCAGTTTATGGTGGCTTTAAAACAGAAACCAGGTCAGTGGTTGATCAAACCTTATTTATAGGATCCAAATCACCTTACCCTAATAACACAGAATGTTACCAGCATCAATAAAGGAGCCATTAAAAAAAACCTGCTCCCTCTTCCTGTTTTGCTTGTCAGTTGAGAAAAGAAGTGTGTTTTCCACCCTCCGCACAAATGTGCCACCTCCGGTGATTGATGCAGTCAAATTAGATGTATGTGGAACACTGGCTCTGGCAAATGAACACATCAACTGATGACCAGCTGTTTCTAATTATTATACACTGGTTAATTAGGACGCCGTGTCACCATCGACGACGGCGGTAAACTGTGTGAAATTCATAATTCATGCTCTGGCGTCCAATGAGCCTCCTGATCAAACCTCTACGGCAGGGCAGGGAGGAGAGGCCGAGCGGAAAGAGGGGGTGGGGGGGGGGGGGGCACTGCTGCTGCTGCCAAATATCTGTGTGTGTGTGTGTGTTCACGCCTCTCCCTCACACCTCCTGCCTCCCCCCCCCCTCTCTCTCAGCAGGGGGTGTGTGTAGGTGGCGGTGTGAAATGTCTGGATCTCAAAGGTAAGCTCACTCCGTCATTATTAAATGTGTTTGAGGGCTTTATGGGACGTGCATGATACACTGAATGATTTTGCAATTGTATACATATTCAATCAAAGTGCAATTATAGGATAGGAATATGGGAGACCAGTTCTGAACATGTTTCACCCACACAGACACAATGCTGGGGTTTAGTCACATGAGTGCATATTGTTTGTTGCAGTTATTTACTTGTTTTTTGATATGTGTTAAACATAGGAAAATAATCGGCTATAACAACCAAACTGGAATCTGGAAAAAATTATTCCCAGTTATATACATATATATATATATATATATATTTGTGACTATATGATTGCATGAAACAGAGAAGCAGATCACTGTTGAGACAATAACACCAACAACATGTTCTAAAAAAGTGCAAACCTAATTCTTATTCTGTCTTAATCCTGTAATAAAATAAACTCCAGCAGTAATTCGAACCTGAACCTAATCTTGAATTTAATTTCGTCACCCTAACTAAAATATTGCATCACATGTCACTTGTTAGACGCTTTTATCCAAAGCGACTTACATACTCAATACTGTGGGCAATCCCCACAGGAGCACTTTGGGGTGAAATGTCTCAGGAACACAACGACATGCTGACTGCAGTGGGGTTTGAACCTGTGACCCCCTGATCCCAACACCAACACTCAACCCACTGCACCACATGCCTCTCATGAATTATGATGCCAGTTTTCATACAAACCCTGAACACAAACTACATTCAGCTTCACATTCAACCAAATGAAACCCCGTTTCATTTCAAACCAATTTTCTAAATTGACTTTGAATGTAATGCTTACATTACATCTAACCGACCCTAAACATTTTACTGTAGTCAAAAACTACATTTAGGACACATTTAATTGTAGCACCAAAATGTATCATAGTTAGCATACAAGTTTTTAATCCTATACTGAATTTGATCCTAAACCTAAACCTAGCTGTGGATGAAATCCCAAACCCTTGCCTGCTGATCCTTTAGCTCGTGTGTACATTAATCTACACCTAATCTTAGTTCTAGTCTGTCACCTAAACTGAATGTGATCAGTTCTCACATTAAACCGATCCCCAGCTCTTATCCTGAACCCTCAGTGTCTCCTGTACAGCTGACCTCTGACCTCACAATAGAGGTCTCAGAACTCTGCAGTACAGAGTGCAACACACACACACACACACACACACACACACACACACACACACACACACACACACACACAGCTGCAGTGTGTGTTGTGTGATGCGGTGATGGGTGTCTCTGTCGTCACGCACTGATGACATCTGACTGCGGGTGTCGCTGCGTTATTATCTTCTCGACGCAGGGCGGATTAGAAAAATGGGATTTCAGATGGCTCTTCCCCCCCCGACCCTCTGCCATCGCTCAGCTAAGTGATTATTGTTAAAACACAGGAAAAAAAATTATTTTGGAAATAATTATGATAGTAATTATCGTTTCCCCCTTCATGGCCGGGGAGATAAGAGTGAACCCAGGAGAGGGGGGGGGACATGTTTCTGATCAGTGTGACTCCCGATCAAGAGTAATCAGATTACAAAGTGCCGCATGAGGAGAGAAACTGGTGGTTGAATTACAAACACAAAACATATACAATAACAATGTGTGTTAAATATAAAGAATGTGTGCGAAAAGAAGGAAAACTAAATGCTTAGAAGAACAAAAGATAAACATTTGCACAGAAGGCAGATGCAAGTGAAATAGTGGAGACAGTGGTGAGTAAATACTACAGTTCATCCCGATTAAGGGAAAGTGTAATCAAATAAATCAGGTATCAACACTACAGTAACGATACACATTCTAGGCTCTGTCGTGTATCCCAGTTTGAAGTTCAATTCAGGAACTCAGAAAATCACATTTCTGACTTTTATTTTGAAAATGTAAATGAGGTATGATATTTGAACCAATTTGGCATGTGGTTATTCTTATGTTTGCTCGTCATAACTACATTACCTATAGTTTCCGGAAGTGATCCAGTTAGTGAAAGTATGTTGGGCTGAACTCAAAACTCATGATAACACATTTACGTATCTAGATTTAAATCATAGCATCGGTTATTATTCTGTTTACAGGGCAAACGTAACAGAGTCAATTACAACCTGAACTTCCTGTATAAAGTATACATTTATATATACTCAAAAAAAACATAAAAGGTTTAGGGATAGGTGCAAAGCAATTAATTAATTGTATAATCAGTTTGAACTACCTTATGTATATGAATCTAAAAAGGACAAGAAAAGTGGAAAAAGTCAAATAGACAGAGTCTAGAAGAAGCAACATCCCAAAGAAAACAAACCCAATTCCCATTCAAAGTGCTTCAACTACTCAATATGAAGTAGTATAATACTTAAAGTCAAAGTATAAATAAATTGTGATTTTAAATGTAAAATCACACATGCAGAAAACCCCAATATTCCTGTATTTGATTATTACATATATATATATATATATATATATATATACATATGCTGAATGTGGCTATGGAGGAAAAGTAATCAGATTACATTTAGGTGTTTAGAAGTTCCGTTGCCGAATAGCAGAATGTTTATTGATTCCAGTGTTTAGTCAGTAATCATTGGACACATCTTGGAGCTCCAATCATGGAAACTTCTGACTGCAGCTGTCATTATTTCTGTTTCTCATCAAACCTCACAACTTTATTAAAAGAAAACACAGAAACGCACACGGATAACTTCGCCCATAAAGGAAGTTGTTTTGTTGTGATTTCTGCTGAAACGCTCATTTCAGAAAGAGGATAAAGCGTATTTAGAGCCGTGCAATTTTGCCTGTTAGCAAACAGCCTCCCAATTATCTCCCTTTGATTGCCTGCCTCTATCAAGGTGAGCGATTAGACCAGCGCTCCTGTGAAGCTCTGGAAGCCGTTCTGAAATCGCTGCACTTTGATTTCATCAATCTGCAGGCAGCCCAACTGGAAGAAAATGTGAGTTTTATGAGCAAAACTTATTTTCCTCATCTTCGCTCTTCCAATTCACTTTCATATTCAGGCCTTCTCTGTATCAGATTAGAAGTCATTTCTTTCTTCCAAAAGAACTTCATAACATTCCTGTCAAATTTCTTCATTTTCTCTCCTTCACTTTTCGTTTTCCTTTTTTCCAGGGAGCAGCGTCCTTGCTGGATATGATGTTGTACTATGAATCTACAACCCATCTTGACATTTCTGACAACAGCAGTATGGGAACATTGTGTTGGAGGGCCCTCGCTCATTTGATAAAGCAGGTGGGCTGATGCAGTGGAACTGTAATCTCTTTCTCTGGGGGGGTAATGTACATCCTGGGAGGGAGTTTGTTGCACATTACGTGGTTTGAAGATGCAGGGCAGAGCAAACAGGGTGAGAAGTTCTCCCACTGCACACACACACACACACACACACACACACACACACACACACACACACACACACACACACACACACACACACACACACACACACCACTACTGCAGCCTCACAGATAGCATTAGCAGGCATAACTGATTAGCTGGGGGTCCAAATGCTACCTCTGCCAGGTCTGTGTGATCACAGCAAACAATGGAAGGACTCTGAAAATGACTTCCAGTTGGTTTATTTTTGTTAGAAATGTTGGAATCCTCTTTATGTGCAGTTATAGAGTTATTGGAATAAACTAACTCTTAAAAAGTTTTCATTTCAATATTTCGCTATCTTTAGTTAATTGGAAACTGACATATGGTGCTTTTCGCACAATAGTTCACACCAAAAAGCCCCCCAGAACTAAATGAGTTCAGTTCCCATTTTTACCCCCTTTTCCGTCCCTGCTAGAGAACAGGGACTTTCGTGGGGGAAAAAGGTTCCTATTTCTGATTGGCTGGGCGGAATGCAAACCACGCCCCGTAAAACTCCAAAAAGGTTTTGTGAAGCCACCATTTTATTATACTCGCATTAGCATTATTAGCATTAGCATTAGCCCAGCGCAGAAACGCAGAGAGACTAACTGATGGCAACACAAAAGAAAACATGGGAGCGGTGGAGATGAGGAGGTGTCGGCGTTCTGGCGATTTACT